ATAAAAAAAGAAAACAAAGAATAAGTGCACTTGAGTATAACAATGGCTGGGTGAGGCTGGTATAAATGTCTATTCTGCAGAAGGTACAGACAAGTCTGGTGGGATCCATGCCTGGTTCATTTTAATAAGCGTGAGCTTGTCCACGTTGGCTGTGGACAGGCGGCTGTGCTTGTCTGTGAAAACGCCCCCTGCCGTGCTAAACACACGTTCAGACAATACACTGGCTGCAGGGCAGGTCAGTACCTCCAAGGCATAAAGGGCAAGCTCAGGCCATGTTCCCAATTTGAAAACCCAGAAGTTGCCTAATGCTAAGACGTTCCATATCAGATGGTGGTGCTGGTTGTTGTGGCGTGCTGACAAAGCTTTTCCACATTTCGGCCATGCTAACCCTGCCTTCTGAGGTGCTGGTGGTGCCCCAGCTGCGTTGGCGACCTCTTCCTCCTCCTCTGTCTTCACCTTGTGCTTCCATTGAGCCCCTGGTGTCAGTTGGGAATGCCCTCAGCAGCACGTCTACCAGCGTTCTCTTGTATTTGCACATCTTCCGATCACGCTCCAGTGAGGGAATTAAGGACTGCACGTTTCATGCTTTTCTGCCTGGTGTTCGGTAGATTCAATCTACCGAACAACCACACGAATGACTGGACCACCTGGGAGCTGGAGTGTGCCGGCAATTAGCCTCCCTGAAGCTGCGGTTAACCGCAGCTTAATTGAGGAATGCTGGGTGGCCGCCATTCGAATCACGAACACGAGGTCGCGGCCATTTTAAACATGCGAACACACAGCGGTGTTTGACGCTTAATTAATGGAACTGAAATCGGACACAGTTTTGTGCGAACACCGCTGAAGCCGCCGACCTCTCTTCTTGTTCAGTGAAAGTGCACGAACGGCCGGTGTTCGATAGTTTTGCTTGAATGTGTTATACCCCAGATAGGAATCCCATGGACCCCATTCGCATGAAACTGACTGTGTAAAGACTTTGGCTCCATGGCAATTAAACTGTATTTGTGTGGTCTGAGCACCATTCGCTTAATAATGTGCGCTCAGACCTGAGCTATCTGGGGATATGTTAAATGTATGCTTTTAATGTTATGTGTCTCGCATAGTGCATTTTAATAGTAATTCGTGTTGCAGTATCCCCACGTGCATAATGGCGATTTGCCTTTGTCTTGGAAGATAATTGAATTACTTCTCAATTATCTCCAAGGCAGAGGGGAGGAAGCCAGGATGCATTGTGGGAATACAATGTGACTGTCTGTCCTATTTTGCTGATTGTCACAGTCTCCCATTTGGTCCCCTAGGGAAGTGTCCACCAGGTGGGAGACCTGCATAAATACTGGGCAGGTAGCCCTCATTAAACAGACCACTACTTGACCCCCAACACGGAGCCTTGTCTCGTCTTTGGGTGGCATTTACTGAACGCTGATAGAGACTGATTGCTAGGAGTGTAAGCCGCTTGGATGCTTTTCCTATTCGTCTGCTAGCAGCGATTCGTATGGTTCCAGTTCGTGTGTTTGGAGTGCTGTATTGGATGCCGTTCGGGAGCTTGGAGCATTCACTTATTGGCGGTTCGTGAGTTTGGTGTGTTACAATAGCTGTGCCTGCATCTCTGGAAAGGGGGATGATCGCCTAAATGGTTTTTACCCCTTGTGTGCAAAACGGTCCGTTACAATGAGTTGTATATATTTTGCTGTGTATCTATGTAACCTATAAATGTTGTTGGAAATTGTAGATTATGCTAGCTTTAGTGTACCTATAATCTTAATTTTATTAATGACAGGAGGCGAGTATTTGCTTAAGTCTCTCTTTACTAGAACTCCACAGCAGCACAGAAAAACAACCAATCAGAAAAAAGTTAGGTATTATAAAACTCCCCTCCCCATGCATCATTTCCTCTTTCAAGTGGCGACAAAAACAGAACAAAAGGCAGAAAATATAATGGGGAAGAAACAAAGTCCTAGATACGATGAATACAACAATGTCCGCCATCCGAGAAGAACAGCCAAACCAGATAGCGTTGATGGACTGTGGACTGTAAACTGAAACGAGAGAAAAAACAGAATCGAACAGGTTGGTTAGCCAATGAAATGTACTCTTAACAAACATGTAGGTACCCCATGTAGCAACCAAAATACCTTAATATGTAGAGATCCCAACCCTACTTATGAAAAACAGACCTAAGAATAAGAGACAGGTAGCAGAGACAACAAGCAGAGTTGCATACGTACCTGATGAACCCAAACTATAAAAATTAAACAAGGGAGGGATAAGAATGGGTGGGAAATACTCGCCTCCTGTCATTAATAAAATTAAGATTGTAGGTACACTAAAGCTAGCATAATCTACAATTTTATAACATGACAGAAGGCTTCGTATTTGCTGTTTTAACGCTCAGCCAACAAATCCAACGCTGTTTGTTTCGCTGGTACCTATTCCGGGATATATTAGATCAATCTAAAATAGACCTTCCAACTGCGAGAAGTGACAGTAGGTGGATTGATGAGAATGCCAACTGACAAGGCACCCCAATATACGGGAAAAACACCCTCCACTGGTTGGTCCAGTGTATGTGGGGTTGCAACCTGTCTCCTAGCAGTCGGTCCGTGAGCTGCCAAGCTGATCTATAGTAATTTTCCTGTAGGTGTATGTGACAGACCCATCCATATGAACTAAGATTGCTGTGTTCGTCTGTTTTGCCGTTTGCATGAATTTACCCGTTCGTATGCCTTGTTTAAGTGACTGTACTTTTCTGTCGAACGGAACTGCCGAACGGACGGCCACCCAGAAGAGAAGTGTGCTGCTGGTTAACCTATTAATCCCAATTAGAACGTTGCAGTTAACCACAGACACTTCTCAATTAAAACCGAATACAGGGTGGTCATCATTCGTATGTCGACCACGAGGCGGCGGACATTTTAACCATGCAAAAGACCAGCGGTGTTCGACGGTTATTTCATGGAACTGAAAACGGACACGTTTTCAACCGAACACCGCTGAAGCCGTCGACCTCCCTTCTCAATCGACAGAAATGTGCGAACACCGGCCGTTCGGGAGATGTAAAGGCACGAATGGACTTACCCCAGATAGCCTTCCCATGGAGTCAATCGCATACCGAAGAACTGCAATAGACTTTGACTCCATGGCGATTGAACTGTGCGTATGGGATCTGAGCGCTATTCGCCAATAATATGCACTCAGATCCAGGCTATCTGGGGATGTGTTACACGAATGTAATATGTTCGGCAGTTATAAAGTTATATATTTTTATGTGTTTTGTGACTTTTGTGATTTAAAATGGCGATTTGCCTCTGCTCTGGGAGATAATTGAATTACTTCTCAATTATCTCCCGAGCAGAGGGGAGGAAACTGTGATGCATGCTGGGAATATTGTGTGATTGTATGTCTGAAATGTCCCCATGTCCATCTGCTATTCCAGTCTCCCATTTGGTCCCCTAGGGGAGTGTCCACCAAGTGGGAGACCTGCATAAATACGGGCAGGTAGCCCACAGTAAACTCAGTTCGTGTTTTACCCTCAAAGCGGAGCTTGGTCTCGTTATTGGGGGGATTTTATTACCGGCGACTAGAGACTGCTCTTTGGAATTATTTGCCGCTTGGAAGATATTGGCGTTCGGCTGATATTGGCAGTTCGTGAACTCGGCTCGTGAAGAGAAGGAGCCGTACGGATACCGTTCGGGAGTTTGGAGTGTTCCCTGGCTGGCGGTTCGCATGGTTGTATTGCATACGCTTACAGACAACATTATTGCATTCACTAAACGGCGATTTGTACATTTCATGCTGAAGGTACCGTAACAGTCTAAAATGCCAAAGGTCATTTGTGGACTTTAGGGCCGCAAAAGGAAGACTGCCATTAGGCCTCGACTCTTGATGTGGAAGATGACTCCTTCAATCGTGCCAGGGGCACCCAGTGATGTGGTCTTGCAGGCAAATCTCCAATCTCAAGTAACACGTGAAGCCTACCAGCAT